TCCAACCCAACTCTGGCGCACAAGGCGAGTACGCTGGTCTGCGGGCCATTCGCAGGTATCATGAACACCGCAACGAGGGCCACCGCAACGTTTGTTTGATACCTATCTCGGCGCATGGCACCAACCCGGCGTCAGCGCAAATGGCCGGTATGAAGGTCGAACCCATACGTATTCTCTCGGACGGCAGCATCGATATGACACATTTGCGCGACAAGGCAGCAGAGCATGATAGTGATTTGTCTTGCCTGATGATCACCTACCCATCCACAATGGGAGTGTTTGAGGAAACCGTTGCTGATATATGTGAGCTCATACACAAACACGGCGGTCAGGTTTACTTGGATGGGGCTAACATGAATGCGCAAGTCGGTCTCTGCCGTCCTGGTGATTATGGCAGTGATGTATCGCATTTGAATTTGCATAAGACTTTCTGCATACCTCACGGCGGTGGCGGTCCCGGCATGGGTCCAATCGGTGTAAAAGCGCACCTGGCGCCCTATTTACCCGGACATCCAGTTATCAGTCCGGTGGAATGCGAACAGGAAAGTTTTGGTGTTGTTTCTGCAGCGCCTTTCGGTTCCTCGGCTATTCTACCGATTTCATGGTCCTACATCAAGCTTATGGGTAGTCGTGGACTTAAGCGTGCCACACAAGTAGCTATACTTAATGCGAACTACATGTCCAAGCGTTTAGAAAACCACTACAAAACTCTTTACAAATCATCAACGAGCGGACTTGTGGCGCACGAGTTCATTCTCGATTTGCGTGATCTGAAGAAAACTGCCAACATTGACGCGGTGGACATTGCTAAGCGTCTAATGGACTATGGTTTCCATGCACCCACTATGTCTTGGCCGGTGGCTGGCACTTTGATGATTGAACCTACTGAGTCAGAGGACAAGGAAGAGTTGGATCGCTTCTGCGATGCAATGATTTCGATACGGGAAGAGATTGTCGATATTGAGGAGGGACGCATGGACAAAGTGGTGAATCCACTGAAGATGGCGCCGCATACGCAAGCGCAAGTCATCTCAGACAAATGGGACAGGCCATATACCCGCGAGCTGGCTGCTTTCCCAGCGGTAAGGAGCATAATTTATGTTGGATTTATAGGTTGACTTGAGTTTTATTATTTTTTGCAGTTATTTGTTAAACCAGACTCAAAGATTTGGCCCACTGTTGGCCGAATTGACGATGCTTATGGAGATAAACATTTGGTTTGCACTTGCCCGCCTATTCTGCCTGACATTTAAACACTAGATTCGCAGTCTATTTTTGATGTCTTATATTTAAGTATAAATAAGTTTTTGTATATTAATAAAGTATAATAAATTTTTAGTATTTATTAAGAGCTACAGAAATATCTCCGGGCAGGTATGAGAACTTTGACATTACCCTTGTCTCCACTTCTCTGATATCGCGACTGGAAGTTTCCTGGTACTAACGCCAAGGGTGTTTTCAGTTTTTCTGGCCATAGATTTAAAAGTATCACTTTTAGGAATCCCTGGAGAACAAACTNAGGGAATAAAGTGATCGCCCTTTGCAAAAACGGTAGGAGAAAGGTACCATAAAAAAGTACGCAAAGTATTCAATTAGAGTTAAAATGTGTATTCTTAATTCTATATGAATTTTCAATTTAATTACTTTTTTAATGGAAATACTAAACAATACGTAGAAATATGCATTCGTCATTTTCTGGAACAAATCTAGAATACCAACCGTTCAGCTATGCAAAAACGAAAAATGCAGATCAATAGAACTTTTTACGCTCATTTCAATCATGACAAAATTATTTGGCGCAGAAAAAAAATATAGACGTTTTAAAAGGTTAAAGTTAAATTTTTTGATTTCTTTAAATATTAATATCTTATCAGCTACATACCGATTAGAAAACTTAGATGACTTCACCTGAAGATAATTAATTTATCTTTCAGCCAGTGTTGCCAGGTCATTGAAGTCAGAAATCGTCAGCATGGCTCTCAAAAATCGTCATCTGCATGTAACATTCGTAAAAATATAAAAAATTTTAATAAACGGAACCAGGAAGCCCTACTGTTTTTTTTCATTTTATTCTAGCTTCTGATTGCTATACGTAAAAAATAAAAATTTTAACTTTTTTACGAATTTTTAAAATTCGCATTACTTTGGACAAAAATATTTTTAATTACAGTAAAATTACATTTTCAGCTAAATTTTTTTTCAAACTTAACGATGTGCATTAAAAACTGTTCATACTAACAAGTTTTGCTAAAGAATTTATTCATAATTCTCTTCACTCAATAAAATATGTACCAGTTAGGGATGTTAATTTTTCACCTTTTTCCGATTCCGGGAATAGATATTCATTACTTTTCAACTAATTAAATCGAAAAAATTGCTTCTATATTGTTTGAAAAGCTCGCCTACCATAAAATAAATAATAAATAAATGGGTATGAAACCTCCTTTTTTATTTATGTGGCGCTTCTATTTTTTCTCTCTGACGTCAGGATTTTTTTACTGGACTTTGTAATTTCAACGATACGATTAATTCCAAAAATTGTTTAAAAAGTTCAATGAAATGTAGAATAAAAATATGGGTACCAAATGCAAGAGGCAATTTCTTTAGAACTTTTTGGATTCACAAGGACGAATAGTTAATTTTTAAGCAGATTAAGTTATATAGAGTTTATATAACTCCTTGACATATAATTTTTTCAAAAACAAATATTGCGAAATGTCAAGGATACAATATTAAAAGTACATTTTCGATACTTACCAGGCCTTCTGCGTCAAAAACTTGAATCTGTTTAAATTCTACAGGATTTCCTCCTTAATTTGAGACCCATACTTTTTCTTTAAGCACATTTCTCTGAATTTTTGAATTACTGACGTCAGAGTCAAAAACTAAAAACGCAATTTTACTATATTTGGCCCATGGTTTCGGAACAACGGGCAACACTGCCGATATCTTCATCGATTGTTTCGTGGAAATTGACTTTCTTACTACGCAAATTCAAGTATGTACATACAACAATACTTTACATATTTCTTTGCAGAGTAACGCAGTTATTAAAACCTTTTTATTAAACATGTACATAGTATCAAAACGAATAAATAAAATTTCAGCAAAAAATGATAAGAAAAGTTTGATTTCGTTAAAAGCATCGATGCAAAAAATACACGGAGCAAAAATTATCGATAGTATCGTACTTGTGAGTAGGAGCGTCCTAACCCTAGGTTTGACAGCCGGCCTTCAAATAAAAACAAAATAGCGTGCGCTGCGCCAAACGCCATTTGAAACTTCCCCAAAAATAAAAGGCAAAAGTTAGATCGATAAAGTCTAGACACGCATTAAAATTAATAAAACTTACTTATTCCAATCAATATGAAGATCGAGGAAGTGAAAAGCACTGTACGCACTCAACGCATCGCAGCACACAGCCACGTGAAAGGTCTGGGACTGGATGAAAATGGCGTGCCACTGCCAATCGCCGCTGGTCTGGTAGGGCAAAAGACTGCACGCGAAGCCGCCGGTATTGTTTTAGATCTTATTAAGTCCAAGAAAATGGCTGGTCGTGCGTTGTTGCTAGCCGGACCACCAGGTACAGGCAAGACGGCAATAGCTCTAGCTATTGCTCAAGAATTGGGTAATAAAGTACCCTTTTGTCCCATGGTCGGCTCTGAAGTATTCAGCAGCGAAATCAAAAAAACTGAAGTTTTGATGGAAAATTTCCGACGTTCAATTGGCTTGCGCATACGCGAAACAAAGGAAGTGTATGAGGGTGAAGTGACTGAATTGACACCTGTCGAAACTGAGAATCCAATGGGCGGTTATGGCAAAACTATCAGCAACGTGGTAATTGGTCTGAAGACGGCAAAAGGTACTAAACAGTTGAAGCTCGATCCAAGCATTTTCGAGTCACTGCAGAAGGAAAAAGTGGAAGTGGGTGATGTAATTTATATTGAAGCGAATAGTGGCGCTGTAAAACGGCAGGGACGCAGCGACACTTTTGCAACCGAATTCGACTTGGAAACTGAGGAATATGTACCTCTGCCGAAAGGTGATGTACACAAGAAGAAGGAAGTAATACAGGATGTCACATTACACGATTTGGATGTTGCAAATGCACGCCCACAAGGCGGGCAAGACGTGCTCTCAATGATGGGTCAGTTGATGAAGCCAAAGAAAACAGAAATTACAGGTAAGAAATATCTACATAGAATGATGAATTATTAGTACTAAAATTTCTGCAGACAAATTGCGTATGGAGATTAACAAAGTAGTAAACAAGTATATCGATCAGGGTATTGCCGAACTAGTACCAGGCGTACTCTTCATAGACGAAATACATATGCTTGACTTGGAAACATTCACATATTTACATAAATCTCTTGAATCACCTATAGCGCCTATTGTAATCTTTGCCACGAACCGCGGACGTTGTGTCATACGGTATTTTTCCCATTATATAAATATTGTTTTTATAGATTCAATTCTTCTGCATTTCCAGCGGCACAACTGATATCGTATCTCCGCATGGTATACCACTAGATTTACTTGATCGATTACTAATCATACGCACATTGCCATATTCATCCTCGGAAATGGAACAAATTATAAAGCTACGTGCCCAAACGGAAGGCCTTCAGTTGGAAGGATCAGCATTCAGCCGTCTCAGTGACATTGGCAGCACATCTACTTTACGCTATGCTGTGCAACTGCTTACGCCAGCACATCAAATGACCAAGGTGAATGGACGAACACAGATTACAAAAGAGGACATCGACGATGTACACTCATTGTTTCTGGATGCGAAACGCTCCTCCAAACACTTGTCAGAGAAGAATAACAAATTCATGATGTAATAACAATTAAATGGGAGAGCGCATGCATTAATTTTACTTTGTTTATTTCCAAGAAAATATAATTCCTTAAACGTAAATACATTTTAAAATATGTGATTTAAGGCTTCCTTTTTTTTATAATGCTCATTTTAACATAGACAAAGCCAAACGCTTTTTAATACATCTTTTTGATTTGGAAAATGTTGGGACTGCTTGACCACAGAGTTCATGAATTCATGTTTATCATATTGATTATTCGATGGCAAATTCATTTTTAAATCCAATAAGNAACGCTCCTCCAAACACTTGTCAGAGAAGAATAACAAATTCATGATGTAATAACAATTAAATGGGAGAGCGCATGCATTAATTTTACTTTGTTTATTTCCAAGAAAATATAATTCCTTAAACGTAAATACATTTTAAAATATGTGATTTAAGGCTTCCTTTTTTTTATAATGCTCATTTTAACATAGACAAAGCCAAACGCTTTTTAATACATCTTTTTGATTTGGAAAATGTTGGGACTGCTTGACCACAGAGTTCATGAATTCATGTTTATCATATTGATTATTCGATGGCAAATTCATTTTTAGTTTGAAGGTTTACTTCATAATTCTCTCGCCATTTAATTTTTGCATAGTATGAGTATGTGCGCAATGTCCTGCTGTTCCTTCAATTGTGCCATGAAACTACTGACGCACCTTTTTCGATGTTTGGCAAATTTGCCAGCGTTTTTACAACGCCGCAAACAAATATTACAACGATGTAAATAATTTGATTTTGATCTCAAAGGCCTTTTAAGCACTACTGTGCGGTCAAGTGTGAAAGTTACACAAGCACGCCTGCGTTGTTGTCGTAGATGTTTACCTATATGATCATTCAGTGCGTCAATTGACCTATGCATTGAGCCACACCAGAAAATGGGGCATTGCTGATTTTTTCTACGTCGCCTTTTACTTCTCCGCTCCTTCATTTCGCAATCGTGGGATAGCATTAAAGTTTGATGTTCAAATTGCAAACCACACAAATGACACAGAACAGGTGGCCCGTAATGCAGAGCCAAATGTTTTAGCATTCGTTCCGTATTTTTTTCTACCTGTCCACACACCATACACTCCCTCTTGCCGTTTAAGTAAAATATGGACTTTTCTCTGGTAAATCTTAAAAACTCTTGTTTTACGTCAGTTTTCTTCTCTATGGATTCTTCATTACTCCGACACATTCTTACAAATGCCAGGTCGTCGTCTAGATTGCATTGAATACCTATTGCTGTCATTTGTTTCGAAGCCTTCATAGTTTGCTGTGCTCGATCACGACAAGGGTAAGGACTATCGGTTGAAACGAATGCATCAACTAAATCTGGCTTAATCATAGAAGCTGCGTCTTCCAATTTTGGTGGAGGTGACGTTTGCGTAGCAATTGGGAAAGACATATTTCGGTTATTAAGTTCACTTTGTTCATCAGTTATCGGTAACAAAGTTTGTGCTGAATATATTTTGCGTTGCGTTGCTATCTGCTGTGTTATAAAACGAGTTTCAACGACTATCATTTGGGGTAGCTCCATCCAGAAGTTCTGTGAAAATAGAGAAATAAACAATAACATACATTTCAAAGATGGCCGCGGGCGCGAAGCAGTTAAGTAAAGAAAACAATGTAAACGAACATGGTACCTTTGAGGACGTTATGGACTTGTGTACGGCAGGCATATTAACACCATTTCCAAGTAAACTTCTAGTTTCGGCATCAAGTTCGCCACTGGTGAATCCATGTCTGCATTGTTTGTAAACTCGATATTAGGAAAATATGAGTAGATAAAATAAATTTACCAACTCACCTGAGGATTCCAATGTTACTGTAATGATGGGTTCAGCTGAGCTATTGTTCATAGTGCTGCTTAATTTCCCGTGACTTTCTACAAACAGACAAATAACATAATGTGACCGCTAAGCAAACAGGTGGGTATTTCTTTCCTAACAGGCAAAAAACTTATGTTCTTAAGATTTCCTCCCCACGCGCGTATATTTGAAGCTTGCAATAAACATTTGCCAAAGTGTAGGCTTCAATAATGCCAGGGTTGCATATAATTTTCAAATGTTTATCGATCTTCAAATAATCCTATTCTACATTTCGATTACGTTCCCGCTTTCCGCTCCAAAATAATCGGAATTTCCGGACTGATCGAACACAAGATTGCGCCATGAACCAATTAGAACAGATCTGACCGGTTGAGAAGCAACCATTTGTAATAGCAATTGGGAAAAAAGTGTGTCACGTTCGTAATTTCGAAGTTTGCTATTTCTGTTTTGCTTCTTTATGTGTTTTTTGTCGGTGATTTTTAAGTGATTTTTTGTGCAAATGTAATTAAAATGAAGTGCGCGGTGATTGGATGCAAAAACACGTACAAAAATAATAAATTGGTTAGCACAAACATGTGCACAACATTGCTTGCATTTTTTCTTTATGCTTCGTCTTCATATTCTTTGTTTACTTTTCACAGAAATTAACATGGCACCGAAATTACAAACGTCAGCAGAAAATTACTTTTATCTTTTGCTTCATCCTGTCAGATCTAGTGTAGTTGGATCATGCGGTTGCGCATTCACGGCGGCGATGACATTTCAGGACTAAAAGTAAACAAAGCCGTATAGTAAGATAAAAGAAACTGTTAAAGTAGTCAATTACTCACCATGCGTGGCGAAATTTCAGTATTGGAAAAACAGCTGGTGAACGTTAATATTTCTAACAAAATTGTGCGGCGAAATAACAGAAAAGAGAGTATTTGTGCAAATTTTTGTAATAAAATTGTGTGCAGTAATTTCATCGAAAACACTAACAGCCGGTGAGAACAACTCTCAGCCCACAATCCCAAAACTCGTTTCAAAGCGTTTTCGTTTGCGCTCCGTACGTGGTATAAGTTCGCCAGTAACTTATGGTCTGATTATGGCAACTTAACGTTACTTACGGCTCTAAATTAAAAATTCTGTTAAATGGATGTTGCTTATAATTGAACAGCCGAAACTTAACGTAACTTAATGCCACGGCGAAATCTGTTTCATTTTGATTCTCTAAGTTCTACTTTCCGTTAAGTTAAGTAAAGTTGTCATAATCAGGCTTTTAGGGTTTACACCGGACAATATTGTCAAGACAATTACGTCAAAATGATGTGTTTGTTGTAAACACGACGATTTCATATAACAACAAACACATCATTTTGACATAATNGGTTTACACCGGACAATATTGTCAAGACAATTACGTCAAAATGATGTGTTTGTTGTAAACACGACGATTTCATATAACAACAAACACATCATTTTGACATAATTGTATGCAGCTCTCAAGAAAAGCAAAAACTCCATATAAAATGATGTACAAGAAATGGCTAAAAAATTTTCTTGAGTCAAATTTCCTTAAGGCAGTACGCAGTTCTTCAAGAATGATAGAATACAAGATTGCGCCGTCCTGGGCGTTAACATTTGTGTACCACAAGTAAACAAAGAATACAGCGAAAAGAAGAACGA